TCGAAGTGATTTAAACACTGGACAATTACTTTTCTGATTTTACGTCTATCTTAATTTCTGTGTACCAGATATGACTTATTTGAAAAAGGCGTGGTATGTACCGATTTGCTTACTTTCTTTATACCAGTTATGTTGTTAGGTCGATCGCATATTTTGATCTGAATGTTTTCAGTTTCTAAAGAAGATCATATTGAGGTTTCATCTTGAACATTCAAGCTTGAGCTTTGAAGTCTCAGTAGAAGTGCTGTTGTGTTGTTTTTAGGTGATGGTGTTGGTAGCCTCACCCCCAACCCCTTTCCTCTTGCAGACTTACTACTGGCTAGTAAACTAGGTGAGGTTTAGAAATGCATCGGCCAGGAATCGAACCCCGGACTGCGTGAGGTGGTTGAGTGAGCATTCTACCATTGAACCACTGACTCACCTTAATTTGTAAATAAATGAGTAATTGATTGTGATTGATCGTGTGAAGGCTGAAATACTGTCCGGCGCCCAGACCGAAGTAGGCGGTAGTCTTAAGGGACCACCTCCCGAGCCTTTGACTTGGAGTCTAATCTGCAAGGCAACGGAGCACCGTCAGGAGCTACGTTCCCATGGTTGCCGGTGACCAATACTGGTTCATACGCCATTTGATCCGATTGGATTCTCGAGCCCATGTTACCACATAGTAGTAACTGCTTTCAGTCTAACCGCTATCCAACAACTTCTGACATGATAGGACCCGCAGGAACATAAGTCCCAGTCAATTTACCTTGTTGGGTTACTGCAGTATTCAAGCCCGACCACCACGACAAGGTAGCAGTTGTTGGCCGGGAAATAATGAGTAAAATAAATTGAATTATCATTGTAAGTATGATTATTTGACATTTTGAGCTAATAAAATGGATTTCTTGTTTCAACCTTACTTCATCTTGTGCTAAGCTTAATAAATACAGTAGTATAGTGTACATACTGCCATATAGTAAACATAGTAACCACGTTTACACTGTTAAGTATGTAACGCGTGTCTGAGATGAAGTATGTATTGATTATTTAACTCTATTACAGTCTGATTGATGTGTTTTAGCACCTAAAGCTTTAATCCATTCATTCACTCACTCTTTGGCTTGCACACATTTATATACATGTATATATATACTGACATACACTTATACAGTTCGGTGTTTATCAACCAACCAAGTTTCGATATGTCGGCTTAGATAAAATAATTTGGTTGGTTCGGTTTTTTATTTTCTTGTTTTTCTCCAGTTTTTTCTTTGTTTGGTTGCATATTTGCATGTCTTATTTTTTTCTTTTTATTTACTCTTATTTTGTGTGATGTTTTTGTTTACTTTTTGTTGTTGTGTTTTAGTGCAATACTTTTGATTTTTGTTATTTCTCTTGTTTTTTTTGTTTGTTTGTTTGTTTGAAATGTGTTTACTTAGATTCAGTTGAACTTTCACACATGTGCTTACTGATTCATTTATTCAAAGTATATCGTTTTGCCGAATATATATATGCAGTAGCGCCGTATTTGAATCACGCTTCATCCACTTCAGCTTGAGTAACTTATTATTGTTACAATACCCTTGGTTTCCGAGTGGAACATAGGGCTTCAACAGCGCATCTCCATTTATCTCTGTTCTTCTCAGTCTTTTTGAGCTGGCTCCATGATTGATGATAAGCATTCATTTTCTCCTCTCATGATCTCCTCTATGTCATCGTCGAACCCATGCCCAACTCGTTGTTCCCCATTCTTGTTCCACTTGAAGGCGTGCCTTGTGCGTGGTATCACTCAGCGGTCTCCTCAGCCGGTGTCAGATCCATCTCCATTTCCATCTGTATACTTTATGGACGGTAGGTTCTTGGTTGGTTCGTTAGCACAGATCGTTTTTGCCAATCTTTTCTAGCCGGCCATCTGATCTTCAGTAGCGAAGCAGTGAATACATGTGTTGGTGAAAGTTTACAGCCTGTTGCAGATGCTTTTTTGTGATGCGCGCGCCAAGGTTTTTAGACATATAGAAGCACTGAGTAGACATTAGTGTCGAAGACCTGAATCTTGTTCCTTATGCTGAGTGCAGTAGATTTCAGAGTAATGAAGATCTGTCTTGATTTCACGATCCTGGCTTGGACATCCTGTAGTTGAAGCTATACTGTCTAGATAATTGAAAGAAGTGACTTTCTTTATATTCCTCCGATTTATATTGATTTGTGCTTATTATTGTTGGTTGGTTGTCTTCCCCACTTGTGTCTTCCCTATGTTCACTTGAAGTCCTAATTTCGCTTCCATCCTCTTCTGCCAAGTTATTGGTTTTCACTTGTAGATCTTCTAGGTTGTATGATATTAGACATGAAGTGTCCGCGAAGTTAAAACCTTCCAGTGTCTTTTTGTCTGTGCAGCGTATGTCTGTCTTCTCGTTCCCCATGGTCTGTTGTTGCACGATCCAGTCCATTATAATCAGGAATATCACTGGTGATATTTGGCAACCCTTACATTATAAATGTGGCTTTTAGCCTGGAACACCAAAGATCTCTTCCAAGTAACTGACTTCAAACGAACACAGTACTAGACAATCGAAAAACTGATAAACTTCAAGTGAACGTGCGCCACATCTCTATGACCTAATGACTGAATGATAATGCGACCATGTAGTAACTTAACAGTTTGTCGTTCGACGCCTTAAACTGGGTCGAAATTCTCGATATATTTACTTGTCAGTTTTCAATAGTTCTCTATGTGATGTTATATTTTTTGGTGATATCCCTTCTGGAGAAGGTCAGACCAGTTTGCGGAACAAATGTTGGAATTAGTTGTGTTTTTTTTTCAGTAAACACGCACGGATAATGTCCAGCTGTCGTGTGAATAAATATGATGACCGCATTGACAGTTGATACTCGTAGATTATCTGGTAAAACACTAAACTAGTAATTCGGAGGCCTCTGTCTTAATTCCTACCGCAATGCAGATTATCGTTTCACCTTCAGTCGATCATTATCAATTTCTGTGGAATGAGAACACTTTCGTAAGAATAATCACGCGACATATACTTGGCTTTGCTCCACCAAGGGAAAGGGCTCTCGAGTGGTTTCGCCGCAGAATTATACTGCATGCCTGTCTCGTCTCGCAAGAGGTAGGGATAAGTGTGTTCGGTTCTCCTGAAAATCAGTATATAAACACCCATTCAGTGGGTGTAGCACTATAATAGTTGCATCGGTGGTTCAGCGGTAGAACGCCAGCCAACCATCCACGTGATCTGGGACTCGATCCCCGGCTAACAACCTCACGCCGTAAAATAAACATTACCGCTACTGAAACTTCAAAGCCCTAGCTTAAAGCCCTATGTTCTAAATGGAACTATAGAGGAACAAAATAAATAATAAAATATAGTTGGCTTAAAATTAGTTACACAAAATAAACAACACTGAGTTTTGAAACTCCTTTTCTTTACTTTCGTCTTCAATGTTTCAGTTAATTTGCTGCTTCTTTTTTTCTCATCTTTTAAGGAATACATACAAGCATAATTTATTGTTTTTTAAGTATACACTTTAAAAAAAATAATATTCAATCCTTTTGTTTATTTAATTGCCTCTTCATTTTATTATCTGTTTATTGTATGTGTTCATCTTGTTGTATTATGCATTGATAGGTTTACTTTCATTCTTCTCTGTCTTTGATTTCGTCTCCTTTTCTTCAGCAATAGATGATTATTTAAAAGAAATCTTTCATATGACTCAAGGTATTCATTAAATTATTACAAACAGAACAGAAGCGAGTTCTTGGTGTTATTGTATTCCCTGTAGCTGGATGACTCACACTGAAATTAACACTGAGAATGTTGTCCAGAAGGACTGTAATACTATTGATTACTTACTCTAAAATACAATCTTGGTACATTGTGGACATCAAGAGATTCGCCACATGAAATCTCATACTTTGTGCGAGGGCTGGGATACTGCCTGGACGTCCAGACCCACGAGCCTTTGACTTGATGTCTGATCTACAAGGAATTGTACTGGGGCTACGTCCCCATGGTTTCCGGTGATCAAATCATGTCATACGCTATTCGATCTGTTCGGATTCTGAGGCCATGTAAACCAATGGTTTGTAATCAGGGTTGTAATCACTCGCCAAGTAGGGGGTTTGATTCCCGACTGACGTACTCCTAAACCCTGCTGGCCAATAGTAAACCCGGAGAAAAGGGGGACTGTGCGTAAGTCTAACAACCCAATCCCGTAAAAATATTACTTCCTCCATTGAAACTTCCAGGTTTCGAGTCGTATGTTCCACCTGGATCGCAAAGGAGTGAAGGAGAAGAAAGCAGACAGTTGACTTCCGATTCATGTGACTTCTTTTTTATTGCTTGATTAGTGTGATCTATCACTGGTGTTTGTTGACTGTAGATCTATCTGAGTACCAAGTTTCTAAGATCTAACTGACACTTTCAGTGTTTCCTTTGTCGAAGATCTGTACATTTTTCCAGTAGAATTGATGTCCGTAGTTGTCTGTATGCATTGATATGAAGGATTGAATATCATGTCTGTTGACAGCCGGTCTATCTTCATGAATGAGAAGACTATGAGGATATCCTCTTTGATCTATGCAATGTTTTTCGCAATTGTTGCAGTTTATCTTGTAGATGGTGCTGGTTTTGTCCTCTTTTGGAAAACCAATCACCTTCAAAGTCATCGGGAGAGGCAGTTAAAAAACCGGCAGAGTATTCTAAAAGCTCTGGATATGCTGTCTAGGATGACACTGAAAGCTTCGTTATTAAACCTTAAATACCTTTATTATATTTTTACTTTGTGATTTAAACGTCAAATAAATTTTTAGGCTAACAGAATGTAACTTGCGCAGCTGCATGAAATTCATAAGTGTTTGTAAGCGAATTTGCCTTAGATCCACTGCAGATCGATGTTTTTTGTTTGCCGTATCTTGAAAAATATGCAAAGAATAAATTCATGTTTTCTTTTCTTCCTTTCTGTTGTTAAAAAACCTCCCATTTTTCTTCTTTTTTTAAATCTAGGTTAACAATGGTTTAATTACATCTGATGATTTAATACAAGGCAGTTTAATCAATCAACCACTTCGTCCTGTTTCACAACTCCAATATCACTTGCCAAATGCTCCACCGCCTCCACCTCTTCCTCTGCCACCACCTTCTTCAGCTTCTCTTCCTGCATCGTCATCATCAACATTACCGCCTTCTGTCAGTCCAAATGTATCAAATACTACTACTACACAGGGCATAGAAATGAATAACACTCATATGATGAATTATCCTCCTCCTCATTCTCAAGAATTAATGAATTCTAATGTTTACTTAAGAAATAATTATCGTACGAATATACCAACTTCTGCCGCTGGTGTTGGATACCCACCTGGGTAGGTTTACTTTATTTTAAGAGGAAAAAAAGTGTTCTTTCACGCTTGACTACTCATTTTATAAGTAGTTTGGTTGTATGTTAATTGCTCATTTATTATTAAAACACAAAGTTGGCAAATTATGGGCACCAAGAGTTGCGCCACACAAAATCTCATACTTTGTGCGGGGGCTGAGATCCTGATCAGATGCCCAGACCGAAGCAAGTGGTTGTCTTAAGGGACCACGAGCCTTTGACTTAATGTGTCTGATCCACAAGGAAGTGGAACAAGGTTTGGAGCTACGTCTTCATGGTTTCAGCTGACCAAAACAGGTTCATGCGTTGTTCGATCGTTCGGATTCTGGAGTCCACGTACACCATAGGTTTGGAATCATGGTTTTCCAGCTGTTTGCATTCGGTCTTTCACTGCCTGAAGATAGTGAGTAAGACTTACCTGGTAGAGGCTATGAATGTGTGTCCATACGACAGTATATTGGGAGGAAGACCGACGTCTACCCACTCTCGGCCGTACTAGGTCGCTTAAAGTCAATAGGATGTAACCATTGTCATCTGCTTAGTCCTTAGAGTAAACTGAATTCAATCACTCACAAAGCTAGATGATTTACCTTGATGATGGTACCCTTTGTTATCTGCAGGAACCCATAGATTTAAGTTTCGTCTTTATTGACACTCATCAGTATGGTATATCATGTGCAGCTGGTGGCCTTTCACTGATTTGCGTTTGCGTCATTTAGTGTTACAATCAGAGCCATATTCCCACTAAGCTATTCGGGCTTCGATTGATATCGTGTAGTGTGGAAATAGATACATGAATGAATATCATTCATGAACAGTTCAAATAGGTTCACTTCATATTAAGGCTTGCGCTGAAGATGTTTTCTAGAAGCACAACGAAAGCTTCGCAATCACATCAAAATCATCCGTCTAAGCTACAAATCGTCTCTATTATTTCATAAACCTTTTTCTATCAATCGACTCTTTGTATGTCTCTCTAGTTAGTGTCTTCCCCTAGATCTTGACGATATGTACATATAAGCAGGCACAAATGATCAGTCAAATTATCAGTCGGTAAATTGCACAATCCCAGGTAGAGATTGATTACAGTTGCCTTTGGAAACCTGAAGTATTCACATCACAAGATGTGATCGCCTCGAAACCATAATTGGCAATCAAGAAAGCATGCAAATAGTGGTTTAACGATATATACTATGATTGGTTAGAAACTACTTATGCTAGCCAAATATAAGTGATTCAAACACCAGGTGGCCGTTTCGCTTGTAAGGGATAATGCTCATCAGCGGTGTAGATGGTCTGACTCAATTCAGAGAACCGAATCAGTTGAAAACTGAGCTGGATGGTTTATTTGCGAAGCTTTCATTGCCCTACTAGGCAAAACCCTGACTTCAGCGCATACTTCAACTTGTTGAAGTGAGCCTTTAGATTTCTCCACGAGTTTATTAGTCATCTCTCCTGGTAACCTTGAGGGTGCTTGGTTGCTTTTGTGTGTTTTCACACCTTCTGGGGGCTACTTGTATAGGTACTGATTGTTTCCTTGACCTGAAATTTGACCCTTTGTGTGTGAGATTTCCTTCTTATCGATTGGTAAATTTTGTCTATGTCAATGTGTCTATTGATTGAAGATATGAGGGAGTGGATCTCATGTCTTTTGGTGGCTGCATACAGACAATTATGGACATCAATTCGACTGGAACAACTTTCAAATATTAGATGGAGGGAACACCAAGAATTCTTGAGAATTTTTAGAAGGCTGGTATTCCAGTGAATCGTCAATCAATAGACACATTGACATAGACAAAATTTACCAGTCGATAAGAAGGAAATCTCACACACAAAGGGTCAAATTTCAGGTCAAGGAAACAATCAGTACCAGTACAATACAAGTAGTCCCCAGAAGGTGTGAAAACACACAAAAGCAATCAAGCACACTCAAGGTCACCAGGAGAGATGACTAATAAACTCGTGGAGAAATCTAAAGGCTCACTTCAACAAGTTGAAGTATCCGCTGAGGTGAAGATGTTGCCTAGTAGGGCAATGAAAGTTTCGCAAATAAACCATCCAGCTTAGAGAACACAACTACATCAAAATCATCCACCTGAGCTACAAATCTTCTCCATTAAATCAGTTGAAACCACCTGGATTTAGGCACACCACTGATAAGCTCGCTCTCAAACCAGAGAAATGGTTGTCCAGGATTTCGATCACTTAGATCTGGCTAGGAAACACTACAGGTTGATTTTTTGAGCTGGATAGTTGATTTGCGAAGCTTTCATCACCCTACTAGGGACATCTTCAGCGCATACTTCAATTTGAAGTGACTTTTATTTATGATTTGCTTGTTATAACTACGCTTATCAGTCAGGAGTGTATATATACCATTCATTAAACAAGTGACTAATACTTACTTTTGTTTAGTATCCTTCTTTTAATCTGTTTTTAGTTAAACGTTAATTGATACAAATTATTATTATCATTACTATTATTATTATTATACATGTTACTATGATTTTGAATGACTCTGAATTCCATGTGTATATAGACCAACCGCCACCTACGTTAAATGTGATTTGAATGAGTTTACATTTTTCAATCGAACGTTACCCATACACACACATACATACACACATACAAATACTGTCAGTATTGCTAGTGGTATTACTTATACTATCACTGCGGATACTAATAATAGTAATAATGATAATATTAATGCATATTAAAGAAGACTACGAGCAACTATACATAGTTTCACATTTATCCTATTGTATTGGACCGAAATTAATCAGTCTGTAATATTAAGAAGTACTTAACTATATTTATTAGTTTAGTCTACGAAGAAGTACACATTATTGATAAATGGAGATATATATATATATATAAGCTTTAGTGCAGACCCTTTTTTATGTTCAATAGAGTATTTTGTGGAAAATAGGCAGGTATAAGCCTTCAAGCTTAATCTTTGAATTTTCAGTATCAGTGATATTGTGTGTTTTTTCCACCAGGTGGGACAGGGGGGGGGGTTGATAATCTCACTCTAAAACCCTACCCTCTTTACTAAGCTTTACTAAGTGCATTGGCTGGGAACCGAACCCAAACCATGTTAGGCGTCGTTGGCCAGCATTCTATCATTATGCTACTGATGCTTTTAACTAACTAAAATCTTTGATTACTGTTTATTTGTTTCACTGTAGTTCATACCTCATCATCTGTTTGCATCCATTATGTTTTCGTATATTTTGTAAGTTAGTTATTTAGTTAGAAGTCAGTTTTACCTGAAACAGATTTTTAATGTACACCAGTCTATGAGCAACACATATTTTGTGTGTGAGAGTTAATGATATTATCTAGGGTGATGTAGGTGGTCCGGGACTCGAACTTGGGGAAGTTGGATGAAATCTCCACTTTGTCATGTAGGGTTGAACTCGAAGCTTTAAAGCTTTGTAGATAACTTGTTAACTTTGAATAACATATTCATATCTCCTAAAAACATCTATCGATTCTCTACATAGTGCAATTATCCTCTAGTATACGATTGAAATACACACGTCTTCATTTTCGACTTGATTCATATTCAAGTTTCCATTCTTATTGTTTTTATTATTTAAAGTCTATCAAAAACGATGATTCCCAAACTAGTGGGATGAAACAGCTGTCCAGTACTCCCTGGCTGGTTTTCAATGGTTCTCTAACTGATTTCAATCCGTGATCAACTCGTAAAAACAAATCTATTACTTACAAACTAACTCTTGAAAATTAATCCGATGCTTGCTAGTGACTTACTACAGGACATGGTTTCCTGGAGTTCTAGTGAGAAGTCGTGACCAATGAGGTTCATCCAGTCAAGCGTGAGGATGGATGTCCCACCGATGACATTGGTTAGTGGTTGCGCTAAATCACGAATTGGTAGAAGTTAGAATTCATGGGCTGGCAATTGAATCGGGTCCTAGTGGCTGAGTAGTATACGAGCTTGCCTTGTAACCCGAAGGTCCTGGGTTCGAACACTGGTGATGAGTGCGTCCCAAACTAAGCTGACGAAACAGCTGTCCAGTACTCCATGCTGGTTATCAATGGTTCTCTAATTGATATCAATCCGTGGTCAAACTCGTAAAAACATTTAAGCATTATGTATCAGTATTTTTGGTTAACTTGGTTGAACAGTTACATTGTATGTACATCCTGGTAGTCACGAATTAACATCGGTGAGAGAACCATTGAGAACCAAGGATTACTGGATAGCTATTTCATCTTAATTTGGGACTCCTCAGCAGCATGTACTGGGGACCTCACTGGCAATCGAAGCCAGATCCTTCCGGTTACGAGGCAACCAAGGAGTCCAGTGGCCTGCTAATTCTAACTCCTGCCAATCAGCAATATATATTGCCATCACTGGGGAAAGGTATAGGTATGTACTACTGAAATAACTGTTCACTAGTACTTGGTTTTTAATGGTTCTCTAACTTATTCCACTTCATGATGAAACTTGAGATCAATCAAATCCTTATAAACTAACACACTTGATCCGTTTTAGTTTGTATGAAGGAGACTGACTTATCTTACTGGCTGACATATATAGTTAAAATGAACATTCCTCAGGTAACACTAAGGCTGATGTTGTATTTGACGTCGAAAGCTTTATCAAAAATAAATTCTAGAAAAGCGACCTTCATATCTTGAAAAATGTATGAATTCATAGCTAAAGAAGTATAATATTTCAACCTAAAAAGGGGGTAGTTACAGTGAACGCGTAAACTATTATCATAGAAGTTAGGATAGAGACATATTGTTGTTAGATAGTTGGAGACAATCGACAGGAAGCCTTGGACCTAGGTTTCGTGTGTGTTGACACTCACTAGTCAGCAAAGAGTATCTGAAATCTTGAAGAAACTCATGTCCCTTCTGAGATTCGAACCCACGTCACCCAGTGCTGCAGTGAGAGACGTTACCACTGAACCCGAATAGCTCACTGGTGCACCTTGTTGACTGATGAGTGCCAAAAAACACGAAACCTAGTTGCAAGGCTTCTTGCCGATTACCTCTAACCATCTAATAACAACAATTCTGAGTACACACCATGATGGAGAGCCACCTGGAATGGTGGTCACATTGCAAACCTGACTTGATAGAATTTCGCCTGCAGTAAACAAAGGACTATACGCATGACAGTAGTTAGTGTCCAGTTATCTCTCTTTAAATCTATATATCAATTTGAAGATGTTGAGAAGGAAGATTGAACTGTACAAACAGGGTTATTGATAGTCGTTAAACACTGTAAGAGAGAAGGTTAAAACAAGGCAGATAAGAAGAAAAAAGAAACAAAATAGCTAAAGAATAACATTTGGTTCACTGCAGTCGCCTTACATACTCTCCCACTCCTCCTTCATCCAACCAGCTAGATAATCTACACACACACCCAACAGAACTCAAACCAACAGTTTTCACTTTGTATATTGGTAGTGAGTCATAGTTTACTTTTCATCTTAAGCGCAAATATACTTCGAAGTGAGGACAGGAGTAAGACAAGGCTGCCTACTATCGCCAATGATTTTCCTGATTGCAGTAGATTGGATAATGCGACAAACAGCGGGCAATGAAGAAACAGGCATAAAATGGACTCACACAAAATAGAACTTGGAGGATCTGGACTTCGCCGACAATACATGTCTGATTTCCCACAAACTGGAAGATGTGCAAGCGAAAAGCAACAAGTTGGTAGAAGACGCATCAAAGATAGGACTTCAGGTGAACATAGGGGAAAAAGATTTGATGAAGATTCCTGGACAACACCAACATCAACAACAACAACAGACAACAATCAGCATAAATGGAAGGAACCTGAAAGAAACAACCTCCTTTACCCACCTGGGAAGCATCGTTTCAACTACAGGCAAATGGCACTGACGAGGATATCAAAGCAAGAATCGGAAAAGCAAGACAAGCTTTCACTAGCCTCAAGTCTGTGTGGAGGTCAACACTCAGCACTCAGCATCAAAATAACATCCGGATTTTCAACTCCAATGTGAAGTCAGTGCTACTATACGGATCAGAGACTTGCACTGCGCGTCATAAAGAGCATCTCAAACAAACTACAGACCTTCATTAACAGTTGTCTTCACTCAATACTCAAGATAAGATGGCCGGCCAGAAAAGATCAGCAACAGGGATCTCTGGGAGCGAACCAACTCAGCAGGAACCGATTGTGAAACAAATAGGCAGGAAGAAATAGAGGTGGATTGGCCATACTCTGAGGAAACCATCAAGTGACATCACTAGACAAGCCATTGCTCGAGTGGAACCCGAAAGGGAAGCGGCGAGTTGGTCGTCAGTGCAAGGGTGACTTGGAGGAGGTCATTTGAAGAGGAGATGAAACTGTGTGGGCAGACTTGGAGCCAGGTGAAGACTCTAGCAGAGAACCGAACGCAATGGAGACGTTGGGCTGAAGCCCTATGTTCCTCTAGGAATTAAAGGAAACAATCATATAATAATAATAAAATAGTATATACTCGAGAGTTAGCTATGGATGGACAGGCATTTTGTAACACAGAGTTCCTTAGGCCAGTACAAGCATACAACTCCATCATTGTCATGTGACGAAAATGAAATATCCATTTTCCTTATTGTTCGTTTGTGATGAACTGATTTGAAATGTAAGAAAAGAAAAGGCATTTAAGTAGTATGAAGTAAATTTGCAAGTGACAGCAAAAATAAGATTCATCCACACATAAATAGACCTACGAATAAATGTTTGTTAAGATATTACTGTTATTATTAATCATACTACTACTACTATCGCTACCATTTTATTCACAGTGTAGGTGGAATTCTTAAAGTGCTCTATAAAATGTGTTGTGTTTTTGACAGGTTGATTTTTGTTTAAAACTGTTGAGAGGATTCTATATGTAGTAATAATAATAACACTATATATATATATATATATATATATATATATATATATATTCATGTATGCGCCTAAGCATTCTCAGCATGAATGCTGTTCGTGTGTACGCATACATTCCACTGTGTAAAACGATAACTGTTGAAGTCTATCGTAAGTGTCAACATGGAACTTTGCACAGAAGTGAAGCAGTTCAAGTTGATTTACTCCATTGGAGCACAGGAAAGCAGAGAAAAGAGACGACACATATGAGAGAAAGAAAGAATAGTAACATGGAAAAACATGGGGATTTCATGGAACTGAGAGATCACAAAGACTGAATGCATCTGCACTATTGAGAACTGTTTTGAATTCTATCACCAATAGTCTCTAGCCATTGGTTTCGATCATCCTGAGGACTCTCTTCCCCCCTACCCCTATCCAGGGAGTCTGCACCTCTCTATATGGCTCAAGCCAACTGTTAGAGACTTCATGGATTGGTGGCAGGTTTTCCAATCGAATAGCATGTGCAACAGGTGTCTTAGCCATCTCAATCGATGTAGCTTCATAACTTCATCGGTTGACTTCCCTCTCCAATCTAGCCCTCTACTCTAGGAATCTAGACACCTTAATTAAATCGTGATGAGGAGGAACCAAAGTTATTTGTTAAAGATAAATCTAAAGAACTTCAATTAGATTTCCATGGTTACTTATCAGCAAAATTAGCATATAAACTAGCCACACCCCAGATTATTAGACCAGTTATTTGCTATGCCCAACTTTCAGGGGAATGGATGTCACATAATTGTCCGTTGGACATCATGACACTCGTTTTTCTGGTCGACCTTCTCCTATAGCTTTTAATTATACTAAATTTAGAAGGAGGGAAGGTACTTATCAGTCTGTGATAGTACGAGATCTCTGGTTCTCATACTGTCACAACCTTAGTTTCCATTTCACCTCCAATCATCACCCTTTTTCCATTCCTTTCTATTGTGAATTAAACATAAGGTTGGTAGCTGTGAATTCTCAATAGCCATTGTGTTTCTTCTACACAATTGGGGTCGCTAGCCTCATGAACAACCTCTCCTACTTTCATGACTCTTACTAGACGTGATTTCGAGGTGCATTGCCAAGAGTCGAATGCCGCCTGCCGAGAAAGCTGATAGGCACTTCACCAGTAGTGAACTATCAACGTATAATTATCAGTCATCATCTATTGCATCATTATCAGTCTTGTAGGCTTTATGTGTATTTTATCTAATCACTATAATGCGATGTGTTATGTATATATATATATATATATATATATATATATATATATATTACTGAACCTAAAGTATATTAGGCGGCAAGCTGATCAATATTTTGAATGATTTAAACTATTCACTTCCAGGGAGAAAATCAGTTTACACACCTCCAGTTGAACAGAAAACTCAACCAAGCGTTGTTTAAATCATCTCACTCTGTCTTACCACTACCGTTAGTTGATGTGATTTGTCTGCTTTTAAAATAATATCTCTTCCTATCTATTTACAAGTAGATAGAACATAATCATTTATACTATGTATATGATCACAGGGTAGATCGATAGCATATTTTGATCTAGAATATTATAAACATTTTATTTTTATCAAGGAAATCAAGTAGTGGAATTTCACCCTAGACAATGTACTTTACACAAAAAAGTGTTTTCTAATGTATTTTCTGCTGTGTAATGCCTAAATTTGATTTCTTTTACATAAATACCTTTCCTATACCATTGATGGCTTTTAAACAGTCAATTAATATTGGTACTCTCTAATCACACTTACTTACCTACGTACTTATTTCCCTCCTCTCCCCTCCCCTCCCTTACTTTTAAACATATTAGTTCTGATAATTTATTAAACGGAAAATGTGACAATACTGGAACAAAGACGTCAACTACTGCACAGGTATCTGTTGCAGCAGTAGCTAAGTCATTAGTTCTACCCGGATCGAAACAACAACTGCCTACTATGCAAGATTCAAATATGCCATCGAATGAACCATCGCTTATTCGTAAACTGTCTGTTCCACCGATTCCAAATCATACTGCATCAGTATACCTACGTAGAGGACATAGCTTAAATAAACCGAAAGTCAATGATAGATATAATACAGATGAACATAGCGATCCATCGATGACACCGACATCAACAACAACAACGGCAACAGGTACTACTGCTGATGGATATATGATCAAAGAGTCTGTTAGTGATGAAGACTTGAATCATGCCAGTTATCGATATTCTGTGAATACACTTACCGATCCTGTTGCATCATCAAGGTAGAATATTGTTATTGTTAGTTGTGATGCAAGTGCATGCATCGTATGTTAGCCTGAGTATCTATAAAAAGTTAGCATGTAATTTTGCATGTGTATAAGAGCCTGTTTACCTGCCTCCTTGCATATACTTGCTGAACAGTATTCATTATTCAGTTTTTTTTCTTGAAAGCTTACCTACTGCATCGAAATGATTTGACATTTTTTTATGAAAGAGCTGATCGACTGTTTCGTCTTACTTTCGGACTCTTCATCAGCGAGTACCCACGAGGATACCAGGGATTGAACTCAGGATCTTCAGGTTAAGAGGAGGATCTACTGACTACGCAGCCAGTGGGTCAGAATTGAATGGCTATCGCCGACCAATGCCATCTATGAGCATCCAAGTTCAATCCCTGGTGGGGTCACGGGCGCACACTGCTGAAGAATCATAAACTAGGACAAAACAGCTGTCCAGTGCCCCCGTGGTATTCAGTGTTACTCTAATTGATGTCGATTCTTGATGAAAGCCACATTGAAATCCCTACAAATCTATTACGTAAATAATACATTAGTTAAATTGCATGAATAGACTACCCCTGTCATTTTACTCTAGCTTTTACGAGAGGTTAAATGTCATCTTTGGACATGCTGGCTAATTACACAGAAGACTTGCTCGTTTCAGACATACACTGAGAGAGAAAAGATGAATTTTTAAGTATTGGTTTCTTAAGGATTTTGTTTGATTGGTTGGAGGATTTCTACATGAGCTGACATCAGTTAGAGAACCATTGGAAAACCAGCTGGGAGTACTAGACAGCTGTTTCGCCAGCCTAGTTTGGGACTCTTCATCCACCGTGGTTCGAACCTAGGACCTTCCGGTTGTAAGGCGAGCTCGTAGACCATCCGAGCCACTGGGACCCGATCCAGTGGCCCATGAATTCTAACTTCTGCCAATTCACGACATAGCGCGACGACTTCACAATGTGACCAGTAGGGTACAGCAAGTTGAACATGAAACAGTAACTCATCGAAGAAGACATTGAGAAGTCGTCGCGCTATGTCGTGAATTGGCAGAAGTTAGAATTCATGGGCTGGCCATTGGATTGGGTCCCAGTGGCTTAATGGTCTACGAGCTCGCTAGCCTTGTAACCAGAAGGTCCTGGGTTCTAACCCCGCGGTGTAGGCGCATACTGCTGGAGAGTCCCAAACTAGCAGGACGAAACAGCTTTCCAGTACTCCCTGCAGGTTTTCTAGTGGTTCTCTAACTGATGTCAGCTCATGATGAAGTCCTCCAACCAATCAAACAAAATCGCTACAAAACCAATACTTGAAAAGATGAATTGTTTGTTTAGTCTTCTAATTGTGAAATTTGGGAAAATGAGATTCCCACTATGGTAGCCTCTATTAGTTTCACTTTGACTTATATATTTGCATGTTCCTTTCATATGAATTCCCGCTATTCTTCTTTTATTCGCCTTGTTTGGAAGCAAATGATACAACTTGTTGAGAGTTTCGGTGTTTATCCAAACAAAGATGAAAATTGGCATGAAAGTGATGAAATTGCCCCGCCTGTTCTTTCTCTCTCTCTCCGTCTCTCCTTGATTCTCACACTCTTGTCATTTCTTTCTTTCTCTTTCTTTTTATTCCATCTAGTTCATTGTCGGTTATTTCAGCAGATAGTCCTGAAGAAGAAGGAGAAGTTTCATCAGCTGCTTCAGATTCATTAGTCTGTAGTCAAATGATTGATGGTCAGTCAGGTGGACAACAGAGCATGTCATTAATGAATAAACAGATGTATCACCAACACCACCAACAACAACAGCAACAGCAAGCACAACAGTTTAGACAACAACAAGCAATTACAGATCAATCTATGAGCTTGAATCAACAAGCAATGTATCAACGAGATTATGAACAGCAACAACTTCAGCACCACCACCACCAACAACAACAACATCAGCAGCAGCAGTTACAATTTGCCCATGGGACAAGACCTCCTCATCTACAAATGAATTCTATGCCTATGTATCATCAACCTGCAAATCTTTATCAACAACAACAACATCGTCTACGTACACTAGGACCAAGAAATCAAGTCTATGGCATGACTGACAGTTATCACCTACAACAACACCACCAACAGCAAATGAATGCAATGACTCGATTAGATCCAACACAATCCTTCTTCTCGCCAACACCATCACCAACACCGAGCAAGAAGAAATCTCGTATGCTATCAGGTACATTTGGTCGACTGTTTCGACGTAATCAGTCAGGCGGCGGTAGTGGTGTTAGTGGTAGTAGTGGTGCCAGTGGTGGTGGTGTTGTTAGTGGACCATTCGATGTTGTAGCACAACATCAGCAGCAACAGAATTATTATCCTGTACCGAATCATATGAATCAATCATTCAGAGGTGCATCAGCTTCACCTGTACGTATTGGTTCGCCTATGATGCATACCCCATTGACATCAGCAACATCAACAACTAATAATAATAATAGTAGTAATAATAATAATGTACGTTATTCTATGCAACATCAACAACAACAGTCTATGAGTCCACAACCAATGCTTGGACAAGGAATTCAACCTCCACCCTTACCACCTGCACAATATCATCCATCGATGTCGAGTCAAGCACAAATGATGCAACAGCAACAACAAATGTATCAGTTTAGACAAAGACAACAAGGATTAGAATATGGTACGTATTGTGTGTTTGCCTCAGTTCTGTTGTCTTAACTAACTAATTAATTGATTAAATTAGAACTCAGTTACCTGGTACAGGTTTTGCATGCACTAGGCTATGTATGAGCCATACTTATTGTGTGTGGGTTGGTTATGTTACCGGCAAAGTTCAACAATAGCGTCCCAAGGGATGCGAACGCTTGAGTGACCTTGAGCCGACCAATCAGAAAAATGAGGGATTTTTGGATGAAAAATTACGTATATTTACATAAAAATGCATGAAAAAACAAACATTAAACAGGGTATTTTTCTCTGATATGAGCTGAAAATATGTCCCAGTTATAATGGGGAGTGTCGGTTTTTAAATTAAACCAATTTCTATACATATATTCATCCAGGTGACTAAATAACTTGGTTGAGAGCCATTTATTGCTCTTATCCTATTTTTTAATCTCCCCCAGAAACCCTCTATTGAATTAGTATGAGTGCCTGTTCTGGGATCGACGAAATCATCCGAATGGTTAACTCGATTGTGTATATATCCTAAATCCGATAAGCGGTTATATCCTACCCATTCATCCGTGTGAATGGTAGTACCAGGCTAAACGAGTCTTTGAATAATAGGCAGAAGAGTGTCGGCACTCCTGTCTGGAATAAATTCAATCAATCCCTCCTGAATTTGGGTGTCACAAATTCCCAATACCCGAACGTTGTTAGCTGTAGCACGACTGCGATTGTATTTCTTCTTTATCCACACTGTTTCGTCGATGTGAACGATAACACCGACTCCTCCCAACACTCACTTGTGTAATGTTATTCATTTTCCATGAGGCTAAATCTTGACAAAACTGAAACCACTGCACAGTTGACGTCAAGGTATTTTCTGTTTGATTGGCTGTTGACCTCACTCCGGACTTCAAAATCCAGTAATGGCAAAGAAACAGTATATTCGTTTAAGAAAGTTCCTAGAAGACAATTAACTGAGAGTGTCACTTACCACTACGAACACTCGTTCGTTTCCAACACTCCGTACATCTAAATATATATCCATCAATAACTTGTGAATACGGTTACAGACTCATTGAAGCACCGCAACTAAATATACGAGTACGTCCTATCAATCCATTATCCAGACAGTATCTAAAAGCGTGATCCGGGTGAAATTTTCGCCTGAGCTCATGAACAGCGTTCATTTTTGCGCTAGAATAATCGTAGGTTTCTTTAGCCAACCACTAGCATGCATTCAAGGTCATTTGAGCGTTCGCACTCCCGGGACGCTATTGTTGAACTTCGCTATGTTGCCTAGTCGGCAACAGACTGAAGCAGGTGGAGAAAGTTGCGAACCCTCTGGTAATCGAGGGCATAAGCCGATAATTACTGTATTGCTATTCCCTTGGGTTCCAAGTAGAACACAGGACGTCAGCAGAACATTACTGTTTCACTCCATCCTCTGCAGTCTTTTTCATCTGGCTCCATGATTCCCCATAAGCTTTCATTTCCGCTTCACATGATCTCATATATGTCACTCCGGGGACCAACGCGCAAATCGTCTTTTCCCAATTGGGTTCCACTCGAGGGCCTAGTGTGTGATGTCTCTCAATGTTTCGCCTCAGAGTATGTCCAATCCATCTCCATCTTTTTCTGCATATTTTTTGAGCGATAGGTTCTTAGTTGGTCAGTTGCTAGAGTTACTTCTTGCTTATTCTTCCCAACCGCTTGGCTATCTTATCTTCAGTATGGAATGAAGGCAACTGTTGACAAGAGTCTGAAGTAACCTGTTAGAAATGCTTTCGGTGACGCTGCATGTCTCTGAACCATATAGAGGCAATGACTTGACACTAGTGTTAAAATTACGAATGTTGTTGCTTGTGCAGAAGATAATATATTTCCATACTGATTCCAGAGTAGTGAAAGTCTGTCTCACTGTTCCGATCCTGCCTGGCTGGCTTTCACATCCATATCTCTGCCGCACGTGTAGTTGAAACGATGCTGCCTAGATAAGTGAAAAACGTCTGAAGTACACGTGGAACTAAAAACCGAAAACTACACACAAATTCCTACAGTATGAATTGAAGTACAATTAATGAGTTTAAGGGCTGTGATGCTTGTCTGACTACTTTGAAGTAATGGAAAAGATTTGTAGCTCAGGCGAATGTTTTCGGTATTGTCATATTCTCTGAGTTATACGGTTTAATTGTAAAGCTTTCATTGTCCTTCTTGACAACATCTCTTGTGCTAACTTCACTGTGAGGTGGATGATGTAACTGTCTTCCCTGTGAGATTGGTTGTCCTCAAGAGCTTATATTATCCTTATGTTGGCACCTATCGTCTCATTGATCTGGTGTTTCACCTATTGGTTAAGGGACTTGATCTTTATTGATTGATAAATTTGATATCTGTCGAGTGAAGATTTGATCTGCTTACTAGGTTTCTGGGAATTCTATGGCATTCTGAGAGTTTCTTTTTCAAGTTTCTACATTTCCTAGTGAAATTGGTGTCTGTAGTTGCCTATATGTATTAATACGAAGGAATACATAGCATGTTTTTTGACTGCCAGTTTTTGTTCTTGGAGGCTAAGTCGAAGGAGACATCTACTTTTGCCAATGTAGTGTTATTGATGATTGGTACAGTGTTGATCTTGTCTTCTGTTGGATCTTTTGGCTTGCATTATCGTAGTGAATAAAGCGATTGTGTTGGTTTGTGCGTAATGTCAATGCTGAATGCTTTCAGTTCCATAGTAGTGATTTCAGAAATATTTTTTTCACAGATGATAGAGTTTTCCGAGGATGACATTTCGGTAGTCGTTTGATCTAAGTGTAGACGATGGTCAAGAGATATTTCTCCAATGTTCTCCCCAGGAATTGGGTGCTATCTTAAGCTACAGTAGATTGAACATGGTTCAAACTAATAGACTATTGTTTAACAGAAGAATTTTCAGATCAGTTGAATGTCAATTCCACATGTTTTTGTACACTAGATCAATGTATTGATTAACTTCATTATATGTTTATTACAGATATATGAGAATGTGAGTTACTTGATTGATTGTACTGCATACGCATTTTATAATGATTCAAAACATTTGATTGGACACTAGTCAGTAACTAGTGTGATGTGTCTAGTCCTATCTTTGGTGCAGACTGAATTCTATCAGTCAGGTTTGCAATGTGGCCACCATGCTAGGTGGCTCGCCATCACGGTGCACTGTGAATTGTTGGTACTAGATAGTTGGAGGCAATCGGCAGGAAGCCTTGGACCTAGTTTCCAATCAAAGTACCCACCACAGTCCTACAGGAGGTCAATCGCGAGCCCGAATAGCTCTGTGGTAACGTCTCTGATTGCAGCACTCACTGGGTAACGCGGGTTCGAATCTCATATGGGACATGAGTTCCTTCAAGGTTCCAGATAAGCCTTGGTGAATGGTGAGTGCCAACTAGCACGAAACCTAGGTCAAGCAAAGCTTCCTGCGGCCGATTACCTCCAACCATCTAAGTTTCAAAACATGTCTGACTTATTTTTACTACCTTTTCCAGATGATATCTGAACTTATCAGGTCTTCTTAAATGCTTGAATTGGTAATGCACACTGCCACTTTGTTTCTAATCTTTAAGAAATTGATCAGGTTTCCATTACAAAAGTCATTTAAATTTGATATCATAGGATTGGTAAATCGAAAATGATGGATTTCAGTTTATACTGTGTCAAAATGATCATGGTTACCATAAGAATAAATCGTTTTAGACTGAGTTCTTGAGAGTGTTCGAGGTTGGATTGTTTTGGAACGTAACAAACCACAACAGAAATGTTGTTTAGCGTCTTTTCTCTTCTTATTGTTCAGTTTATCATCAATCTATGGTGTTTTATGGTGGACATAGGTTGAAATTATGGTGTGCATAGCCTACAATAATTTTAAAAGGGTGGATTCAAGGCTCTAGCTGCTATGTTTTGCATCCTAAGCGATATGTACTACTAAATAGTATGAGTAGTTGAAAACGACTTGCATAAACCAGAGATACTTCGTAGATAGATTGGGGTTGATGTAAACACCAAGGTGTTGTTTTTATTGTCTGAGACTCGATTGGTTCTGTTTTATCTCAAAGTATTTAACAGTTGTATAGAACTTTCGGGTGAAATTTATCACTATATTATTCCTTTGGATTCCAAGTGGAACATAAGGCTTCAACAACACGTCTCTGATTTGTACCGTTCTGTCCAGTCCTCTTTAGTTGACCCTATGACTTTCCATAGACCCTCATCTCCTCCTCATATGATCTCCACGTCACCCTTAGACTTCCGATTCATCGTTTCCCATTCCAGTACTGTCTGATGGCTTGATGCCCGATGTCACTCCTCGACGGTCTCCTCAGAGTGTATCCGATCCATCTACATTTTCTTTGGAATATTTCTTGAGCAATAGATTCTTGGTTGGTTTGTTTGCTGAGTTTCTTGTTGATAATTCTTTCTGACCATCTAATCTCCAGTGTGGAGTCAGCTAAGGAAGCTGTTGATAAAATTCTGCAGTCGACTGTTGTGAATGTTTCTGATGGCTTTGGCACCAAGTTTCTGACCCATATAAGGGAAGAACTGACTGACTCAGCATTGGTTTTGAAAATCCGAATCTTGTTGTTTATGCTGACTGAGTGGAGCAGATTTGCAAACTGATTTCAGAGTGGTGAAGGTCTGTCTTGCTTTTCCGATTCCGCCTTTGATATCCTCATCCATGCTGTCGCCATTAGTTAAAACGACTGTAACTAGATAAGGGAAAAACTGACGTCTTTCAAATTTCTGCCGGTGATAGTGATTGGTACTTGTTGTTGCTATTGTTGGTTGGTTGGTCGGTCATCTTCATCACCTCCGTCTTCTCTGTGTTTACTTGAAGTCCTGTCTTCACCGCTTCTTCCGGCTACTTGTTGATTTTTGCATCTAAATCTTCGAGTTTGTATGACATTAGACATAAATCGGCCACGAAATCCAGATCTTCTAGTGTCTTCTTATCGGTCGAACGTGTCCCTGTCTTCTCGCTCCCCATGCACGGTGTTCCGCGTAATCCACTTCAACTAAATTAGGATTGTCATCGACGATAGTAGTGAAATAATAATTGATAATATATCATTTGAAGAAATATTGTTCAATCTGAAACATGTTACAATCCATCACAATAATTCTCCTCCAATGTCTTCGCAAAATTTATAACAGTAGCTAGTATGAAATCTATTTTAAAATGTCTGTGGTTAACACATTGTGCTTCAAGGACGTGATTGAATGATTAAAACAACATAAAGTAGAGTAAATGTCATACATTTTGATGTATGGAAAATTAGATAACCGAATGATTTAATTAGACGACATAAGTTTTAGCTATTCACTTAGGTGGACAAAATTATTCATCATCATCACCTGAAGATAGGACTTTAGGTGAACATAGAGAAAACAGAAGTGATGAAGATTCCTGGCTAACAGCAACGGCAACAACAACAGACAACAATCAGCATAAATGGGAGAAATCTGAAAGAAGCAACTTCCTTTACCTACCTGCGAAGCATCGTTTCAACTACAGGCGGACGGAACTGATGAGGATATCAAAGCGAGGATCGGAAAAGTAAGGCAAGCTTCTATTACTCTCAAGTCTGTGTGGAGATCAACAGCACAGCATGAAAAATAAGATCCGGATTTTCAACTCCAAGTCAGTGCTACTTGCTATACGGATCAAAGACTTGTCACCACGTCACGAAGGGCACTTAGAACAAACTACAGACCTTCATCAACAGCTGTCTTCGCTCAATACTCAAGATCAGATGACCGGGCAGAAAATATCAGCAACAGGGATCTCTGGCAATGAGCGAACCAACCAGGAACCGATTGTGCAACAAATATGCAGGAAGAAATGGAGATGGACTGGCCATTCTCTTCAAGCTCGAGTGGAACCCGAAAGGGAAGCGGTGAGTCAGTCTTCAGTGCGGGGGTGATATTGAGGAGGCCATGTGAAGAGGAGATGAAAGCATGTAAGCAGATGTGGAGCCAGGTGAAAACGTTGGTGGAGAACCGAATACAATGGAGACGTACGACTGAAGCCCTATGTTCCTCTAGGAACTAAAGGAAACAATAATAATAATATCTAGACTCATTGAACTGATCAAGTATCGTCAGCTGAACACTTCAGAAACTGGATTAAGAAATCATTTTGTGCTTTGTATAGATGCTTTGAAGTGAGGAGTTGTGAAATATTTATTTGGACAATGCTTTTATACGTGTTGACACAATGTTCTCAACTTTAATGAAGTCTTATCAATGAATACTATAGTCAGTAGTGTTTTTCACAGGAACTAATAACTATGCTTAATAACTATTGCAATGATGGCAAATCAATTCATTTAGAATTGCCTTTTGAAATAATAAGCCATGCTTGTTTTCTTACGTTTCATTCTTATCAAGTATCGTAAACTCTTATGTCATCTAAATCTATCAATACTAGATGAAGGTTTTCTCTTTTTAAATTTACATAGATGATGGAAATGTTGGATCAAATGTTATCACTGGTGGATCTGTATCCCCACTGTCCTCATCCACTATATCAGGTGGTTTGTCTGAGTCGACTATCCCTTCAAGTGCTAGAATAATGAGTCCCAATCCTATGCCGCCTATGACTATGAGCGGTGGTGTAGGTCAACCGCCGCCTTCTACCCTTCCACCACAAGTTCCTGAAGAACGTAGACGTTGGAAGAAAGAAGAACTGTTGGAACAAGCTATGATGGCTAGATTACCATTTGCACAATGGAATGGTCCTACAGTTGTAGCATGGTTAGAGGTATGTATGTATGTACTATGCGTATTATTTTAGTGCTTTTTCTAAACATTTTCTGTGCAGATGAATTATTCAAAGTTTTTTCATAAATAGATAATCTGGTTTCAGATGTGTTTTGTAGGGCTGCGTTAGGTTTACTTTTGTGAATTGTGAATATGATGAAAGAAGTGAACATCTTAGGTTATTTATCCTGAATCTCCTTTCAGAATTTTTTTGAATTAGTGTACTTTTTCGAAATGATAGAGAAGATGGTGGATACATTCGGTGTTGTTGCATACTCTGAGTTGAGAAGCTTCCATTGTCTTTCGAAACAACATCTTCAGTGCTAACATCAGTGTGAAGAGAGGGAGAGCCCACGGAATTCTTCATGAATGACCAATCTTAAATGAAGTTCACTGAAAAGATGAATATTTCATCTGTGGAGAACTCAGAAAGTATTAAGACAGAGTGATACTTGACCAGAATGTGTCTCCAGACAGACAGACACGACACTATGATGAACTGATCACCTGAAAATATCCTCCACACTGAGGTTGACCCAAAAGTCAGATTGAGAAAACAGACAACTGAAACAACAAGCTATATTAAACAAAATAACCGATGTCATCTCGTGATGAAATCCTCCAACTAATCAAACAAAATAATCCCTGTGGAACCAATACTTGAAAATTGATCTGATGCTCACTGGTGAATGGCCCTATCCAGGCAGTCACCTGGGGTTCTAGTGGGAAACTGTGACTAGTAGGGTACAGCAGGTCGAAGGTGAGGACAGTTACCCATCGAAGACATTGCGAAGTCGTCGCGCTATATCGTGAACTGGTAGAATTTAGAATTCATGGGCTGGCCATTAGGATCAGGTCCCAGTGGCTTAATGGTCTACGAGCTAGCTCGCTGGCCTTGTAACCAGAAGGTCTTGGGTGTAGGCGCTTACTGCTGGAGAGTCCCAAACTGGCAGGACGAAACAGCTGTTCAGTACTCCCCACAGGTTTTCCAGTGGTTCTCGAACTGATGTCAGCTCATGATGAAATCCTCCATGCAACAAGTATAAAACTTGGTCACTGTAATTGAGTATAATTCCATTATGGATATGGATTTGATATGATTATGAGCAGCAATAATTTGTGCTCGAAACGTGATCATCAGCTAATATTACCTACCGTACAACACTGTATGATTTATCAAAATAAAATCTTATCCATAATGGAGTGTTTGACGTTTGTTGTGTTGTTGATATGTCTCCATCACCTGTTCGTTCCTCACTTCTATGCTCACCTGGAATTCGGTCTTCTTTCCCTTGTTCCTGCATAATTCTTCGTCTGATGAATAGTACCAGTACACTATAGAGTTAGTGTGGTTGTGTAATCAGAGTTCATATGCCATTAAGTAATCCAATTTCAAACATTCATAACTGTTCGATGTTTATGAGTTTTTTTTTGTAAATTAAAAACAAGTTTTTATTCACTACACACACACACACACACGTTACTTGTTAACCTTATTCTGTTTTCGATTTTATTATTTTTAATACACTTGCCCTACATTTCTTTTCTGTTATTCCGTTGTTATTGTTGTTGTTGTTGTTGTGTTTATTGTAATATTCTAACCTCTCTTGTTTTGCTTACACACTAGTTATGGGTTAGTATGCCAGCCTGGTATGTAGCTGCGTGTAGAGCAAATGTTAAATCTGGTGCAATTATGGCATCATTATCTGAACAAGAAATACAACGAGAAATTGGCATTAGTAATCCTTTGCATAGGCTAAAACTACGTTTAGCTATACAAGAAATGGTTGCTTTAACTTCACCGACACCAGTTCCTAAACCAAGTACAAGGTGAGTATAATGTTCTATGTATTGTACATTTATATATATACATATATATATATATATATTATTCCCTCTAGTTCAGAGTGGAACATAGAGCTTCAACAACACATCTCCACTTTGTCCTATCTTCTGCCATCCTCTTCAGCTTGGACTACGGCTGCCTACGATCTCTCATCTCCTCCATGTCACCCTAAGACGACCCACTCGTCGCTTCCTATTGCGATTCAACTCGAGCGATGGCCTGCATTGCGCGCGATGTCACTTGACGGTCTCCTCAATGAATGCCCGATCCATCTCCATTTTCCCCTACATATCTGTTGAGCGATCGGTTCTTGGTCGGTTTGTTCCCAGCCAGCCAGAATTTCTTATTGCTAATTCTTTCTGGTCAGCCGGTTGGCCATTTGATCTTCAGTATGGAGCTAGCCAGTGAAGTGGGCAGCTATTGATGAAAGTCTGCAACCTTTTTGAAATCCTTTTCGTAACACGCCAAGTTTCTGATCCGTATAGAAGGACCGACTTGACACTGGTGTTGAAAATCCGAATCTTGTTCCTTATGTTGAGCGCAGAAGATTTCCAAATTGATTTCAGGTTGCTGAAGGCGTATCTTGCCTTTCCGATTCTGACTTTGACATCTTCATCCGTTCCACCTGTAGTTGAAACTATGCTTCCTAGATAAGGGAAGGCAGGAAGTAGCCTCTGTTAAATCTCTTCCGTTGATGGTGATTGATATATATATATATATATATATATATATTCATGAATTATGAATGGTTTAATGTTGAGGAGACTATAATTAGTCACTAACTAGTTGAATGTATCTAGTCCTTTGTTTGGTGCAGACTGAACTCTGTCAGTCAAGTTTGCAATGTGGCTGACGAGTGCTAACTAGTACGAAACCTAGGTCTAAGGCTTCTTACCGATTGGTAGATTTTTCTACTAGAGAATAGTTGAAAATACAAAAAGACTACTAACCATCTGTTTCTTTCTCGTATGATACTCTACACGTGTACATACGTTTGGTATTTTCTAACCGTGTTCAGGACCGTCATGTCGCTTACAGGAAGTGTTACTGTTCATTCATGATAAAGTTCACCTTAAAATCAGTGAACTTCTCATAAAGCAAACAAGCTAATTTCAATCTGATGCTTGCTAGTGACTTGCTATAGGACGGAGTTTCCTGGAGTTCTAGTGAGAAGTTGTGACCAGTTAGGTCCTTCCAGTCAAGTGTGAGGATAGATTCCCCACTGATGACATTGGTTGGTGTCAGTCGGGCTAAATCATGAATTTGTAGAAGTCAGAATTCATGGGCTGACCATGAAATTTGGTCTCAGTAGCTGAATGGTATACGAGCTTGCCTTGTAACTGGAAGGTCCTGGGTTCGAGCCCTGGCGATGGGTGTGTACTGCCGATGATTCCCGAATCACTGAGATGAAACAGCTGTCTGGCAGTACTCCATGATTTTCAATAGTTCTCTAACTGATATCAATCCGTGATCAAACTCAAAAAAACCTAATCCTTACAAATCAACTCTTGATAATTTCAATACATTACTTCTCAGGAGAGTCCACTGTCTACGTGGATATCGGATGACGACGGTTGAGCCTTATTTCTAATTAATTAGCATTGGATTTGAAGCAGTGGGGATTCCTCGATGAACAGCAATGAGCTCATATTGCTGATAATTTCCAAATTTAAGTTGGTTGCAGGTCTTTGATTTCACTGATTCAACATCTGTGAAGAAGTAACATCTTGAAAGTAACCGAATCCTGATAGAGTTGAGTTTCCCTTTTGGATTCTTTCTACATATATACATTAGAAGTGAACTCACAGTGAATCTGAATTGTTCTGTAAATCTAGGTAGTAAACTAATTTGTGATAATGTGAAATTTGAATAAGCTTAAACCAGTTTACTACAAATTAAATCATTGGACCAAGGTAGAATATTTATCATAATGTGATCGGACAGCCTTAGTAATCTAACCTTGTGCAACCAATATAGTTGGTTATCTGTTGGATTAACATTATTCCAAAGTACATGGTATTTGTATAGAATCTATGTTGGTATAATAGAATCAAATTGTTATCACCAGCATGGAGCAGTCTGTCTTCTATCTTTATTTGTATGAACTCTGGAGTGAGAAGTAATCAGTGATCAGTATTCGAGAAATCAGTAGAATGATTGCATCACCACTGATATAAAAAAACTAGGTAGAACTAAAGTGTGGATGAAGCTTGGTGCTCAAGTACCGTTTTGGAGCTGTGAAATCCCCCTTAACTCATCACTAACATTTAAGCTAGACAAATGTATGTGAAAACAAAGAATTCAGCGAAAAAAAATTCTCTTTTCGACAACTTCATTTTCATAGCTGTACAATCGATATGTAGTGAGAAGTCGTGACCAGTGAGGTTCAACCAGATGTCACGTGTGAGGATGGATATCCCACCAACGACATTGGACGGGGTCGCGCTAAATCACGAATTCGTAGAAGTTAGAATTCACTAGCCATTAAATCGGGTCCCAGTGGCTGAATGGTACACGAGCTTGCCTTGTAACCAGAAGGTCCTGGGTTCAAATGTCAGAGGGTGCGTACTGACGATGATTCCCAAACTGGGATGAAACAGCTATCTGACAGTACTCCCTGGTTTTCAATAGTTCTCTAACTGATATCTATCCGTGATCAACTCGTAAAACATAACTAACCCTTACAAACCAAACTATAGAAAATATGGATATATGAATTACAATAGACAATAACACTCGGTTTTTGTGTGTGTGTGTGTGTATGTTGAAGTTTGACAGTGAGTAGAAATACTAAAGTGTGATAGTATTGGTGTATTGATTCGATATATGAATGAATAACTAAATAATAAATAGAGGTCAACCTAAAGTTCACTGTACAAGTGTGAAATAGATGATCGGAAAATAAAGTACACTCGGAAATGTGAATATGTGAATATAATATGATGGAGACGACATAAGATGAATGAAATTTTATCAAAGTAGTAGACTATCTAACAATGTTAGAATACGATAACATGAAGTCATCAAGTGGATAGAAATAGTGCCTTCAAAATTATCTATCGCATTCCATCGAGCCTTTCGAACAGAATTCGAACCCGCTATGGGAATTAATTCGAGAGAACAATCCTAGTCTTTGCATAGAAAAGAAGTTTTTTCTACCTTTATCTCTCCTATAGCCTAGATAAAGTCTAACTAAAACCCAACCACCCTTTCTTACTTTCCACGATACTTATTTAAACTCTGATTATCTGTCCACTTCACCTTTAGTATTACGTAACTTATCAGATTTGACTTAATTTATTCATTGAATTGTCTACATATACACATATGATTTGATAGTGTGGAATATTCCCATATTATAAATTAAAAGTCAATCTGAACGAAGAATATTCTTTTCAATAATTTCTCTTCAGGTTCTTACAATTATAAAACAGTTATAATATTTGCTGTCGTTACAATAAAGGCCAGTTATGCGGTGGATACATTTTTAACGTAGAATAACAGATTAGCGGTTATGGGGTGTCAAAATATTTGTGTGTATTTGTGTGACTAACGTGCTAGGCTGAAATCGATTATAAAATGTTGTAAAACGGGAGACAATGGTAGTGATTAATCATTATAGATTTGTAGAGTGTGGGGTAGGAAAATTTACAAGTCAGTTCAAGGTTATAAAAGGTGTCAGGTGAGTGTCTAGTACAAAGTGGTCTGTGCTAAACAGGAGATAGTAAGACTGCATTGAGAGGTTCATAACGAAATAACGAATATGTGAAATGAAACAGGTGGAGGCATATATTGAGAAAAGAGATAATATCACTAATAATAAGTCCGGATAGTATAAATAAAAACTTCGATAGTATTGAGGGAATGTTTGCATGAAGGGCATAAATTATGACGAATAATAATAATTGTAATAATAATATTTGTGATAATAAGCAAAGGAAAAAAACTAAGAGGGTTAAGGGGAAGGAGCACTCTTGATGAGAAGAAGAATCATCAATCCAAGTTTGGCCACGGTAGGAACAGCGTCTGGACGTGTTCTTTTTGGATACAAAGTTCCGGTTTAGTCGATCTTATTGCAACAGCTTCAGCTGAGGCTGTTCCAGACGTCCAAACGCTGTTCCTACCGTGAGCAAACTTGGATTGATGATTCCTCTTCTCACCAAGAGTGCTCCTTCCCCTTAACCCTCTTGGCCTTTTTTTCCTTTGCTTATTATCACAAATGTTATTATTACGATTATCACTATTAATATTATTGTTTGTCATAATTTATGCCCTTCATGCAAACATTCTCTCAATACTTAATTGGTGGATAGTGACTAGCAGTGGAATCCAGAATGCGCATTTCGTCCTATTTGGGACTCGTCATCTGGATGTACCTGCACTTCTCAGTGAGTGATGATGTTCCCACCGAGGCTCGAGCCCAGTGCCCATAGTTTCAAACGCCAAAGTGTTATCCACTAGACCACTTGGGCCACGAGAGCCACCTCTTGTGCAACGGGTCATATTGATTTAATTGAATTTTGGATTTTCCCGTCGATTGATTGGACCGAAGTGCTCGGTCTCAGGTTGACATGCCAATTAAATCCATATGACCCGTTGCACAAGAGGTGGCTCTCGTGGCCCAAGTGGTCTAGTGGATAACACTTTGGCGTTTGAAACTATGGGCACTGGGCTCGAGCCTCGGTGGGAACATCATCACTCACTGAGAAATGCAGGTACATCCAGATGACGAGTCCCAAATAGGACGAAATGCGCATTCTGGATTCCACTGCTAGTCACCATCCACCAGTTAAATACTAATTAAATGCCCAGACATCGTCGAAGCATCTGCTCAAGAAGCCGACATGTCAACCTGAGACCGAGCACTTCGGTCCAATCAGTCGACGGGAAAATCCAAAATTCAATTAATTCTCTCAATACTATCGAAGTTTTCATTTATACTATACTGACTTGTTGTTAGTGATATTATCTCTTTTCTCAATATATGCCTCCACCTGTTTCATTTCACATGTTCGTTATTTCATTATGAACCTCTCATTGCAGTCTTACTATCTCCTGTTTAACACAGACCACTTTGTACCAGCCACTCACCTGACACCTTTTATAACCTTGAACTGACTTGTCAATTTTTCCTACCCCACACTCCACAAATCTATTATGATTAATCACCACCATTGTCTCCCGTTTTACAACATTTTATAATCGATTTCAGCCTAGCACGTTAGTCACACAAATACACACAAATATTTTGACACCCCATAACCGCTAATCTGTTATTCTACGTTAAAAATGTATCCACCGCATAACTGGCCTTTATTGTAACGACAACAAATATTATAACTGTTTTATAATTGTAAGAACCTGAAGAGAAATTATTGAAAAGAATATTCTTCTTTCACATTGACTTTTAGTGTACACATGTCACTACCATCGTTATTCTTCTTATCGCCACCTGCATAAACCTCATTATCAATATTTTGTTATCGTTATAATCATCGTTATTAATGACGTTCAAAACATTTACCACATTATTACTACTATTATTATTTTTGTTATTATTATTTGGTCCACAAAATCACCGTCATTGGTTAAAATTGTTATATATAAATCTATGTAGATTAGAGTGAAGCCTGAAGAAGATCTAATTGAAAACGACAATATTGTTGGCTGATGTGTCTTGTTCTAATATTAATAATGGGAATATCACTTTGTCAATCCTACGGAAACATTTCTCTGTATGGATAAATTTTTTCAGGGAATTGGAAATCACTAGCTAGACAATGTTTGTCTTAACTTTATCACAAATTAGATTGTAGGTACCTATCGGTGATATAAATTCAATCGATCTGCCATAAACCATCAGATTGACTAATATATATATATATATATATATATATATATATATATATATATTAGATGGTTGGAGGTAATCGGCTGCAGGAAGCCTTGCTTGACCTAGGTTTCGTGCCAGTTGGCACTCTTCAGCAAGGCGTATCTGCAAACTTGAAGGAACTCATGTCCCTTCTGAGATTCGAACCCGTGTCACCCAGTGCTGCAGTCAGAGACAAACAAACAAACACAAACAATGTACACCGTGATGGCGAGCTACCTAGAATGGTGGCCACATTACAACCTGACTGACAGAATTCAGTCTGCAACAAAGAGAGGACTAGACGCATCACACTAGTTACTAGTGTCAAATCAAAATATATATATATATATATATGGCTTATCGAATCAGACGTTCAACTTTCAACACTACTGACTCATGTTTTCGAATCCCACCCCCTCTCCTTACCAAATTTTGCGCACTCAGGTAGTATCAGAGGTATTTAAACAATAAATATGACAAAGTACCAACTGTACGGAAATTCAAGTGGTTGTTGGATGCTGACAGAGTGAGAGAGAGAGAGAAAAACAACCTTTGATGTATGTCGTTTCTATTCTTTTATGTATATATTTTGTGAGTTAAAATACAACGGCAATAATATTAGCCTCACTCTGGAAATTATGTTCATACACACAATACGCCATGTATAGAATCTTCAAGTAAAACATTCATCGACAGTCTACGGGTATGTGATGCAACGTCATTCCATCTAAAACAATATACTGAGCCTCTCTCTCCTACGACATGTGTTGTTCCTTTCATTTTCTTCTTGAAACGCACAATGGTTGGTTGGAAGTCAGTTAAAAGTTTTGCGTGGGTGTATGTTGCCATTCAAGGACATAATTGGAAGATTTAAACAAAAAGAAAGGGAGAAAAGTCGATACATTATGTCGATGGAAATTTTGGTAGCCCAGTGGTTTAAACAGGCCGCCAGAATTCTTCAATTATTGAAAAATTGCTGTTTTTTAAAAAGAAATTTAAACTTCATAATTTTACTAGTCAATATTTGTTAAGTTACTTGTTTTCTCATCATTTTCTTCATGCGTCTTGTCTTATTCTTTTTGTGCGTGTGTAGTCGTTTGGCATTTGGTGATATGAATCATGAATGGGTTGGTAATGTATGGCTGCCTAGTCTTGGACTGGCTCAATATCGTCCAGCTTTTATGGAGTGTTTAGTCGACTCGCGGATGCTTGACCATCTGACAAAACGTGATCTACGAACTCATTTAAAAATGGTTGATAATTTGCATAGAACAAGTTTACTATACGGTATTGTCTGTTTAAAACGCTTAAATTATGATCGACTGGAATTGGAGCGTAGACAACGTGAAGCTGCACATCCTGATAGTATTGGTAGGTCATGCTTTATATTACTTTATAATAAACTTTAATATTGATCGGTTTTTTCTTTATCATGAAGACTGTTATATACCTCTACTGGTCTATTTCTTTATTACTAGTGAATGTACGATAAAGTTCAATCGGTAATAAAACTGTGCGTCAAGCATAAATGCATGACACCATATACTACTGAGAGTGGAAGACATGAAAAGATTAGCTGTCTTTGATCATAGGTGTCTGCGTTCTATCTCCCGTGTGAAGTGGTAGAATAAGGTGAGCAATATTGGGGTTAGGCGTCGAGTGCTAGGTAAGGAGGGGAAATCAATTGACGAGGCTGTGAAATTACATTGACTGAGGTGGTTAGGACATGTGTTACGTATGCCTAGTCATCGCCTTCCTCGACGGGCAATGTTAGCTGATATAAGGTCAGGCTAGAAAAGAGCTAGCGGCGGTCAAACGAAAACATGGCACCAGTCAATGAAATCTACAACAGTTAGTCTAAGCCACGTAGGAAGGTGTAGACTGGCTTGCTGGTTGGGGTCCTCGGGACGGTAAAACCAATGGTTGGAAACAATTGGTGACATGGCTCAAAGTCGTTCTCAATGGCGCAGATGCATCCATTCCTTGTGACTTATGATATCCATTTAAACTGTTTTGTTCTTCGTTATTACTATACCTTTGTCTCACACCTCTGTTTACTGTCTCTAATATGCATTTCTCCTACTTTCTTCTCTTGCTTTGTGTGCTACATGGAGGGAGTGTGGCGACTTGAACTGCCGCACATATGTGCAAAGTTCTATGTCGAAAACAGACAGATACTACTGACTCATTTATATGAGTAGTTGTATACCACTCACATCAAGAATTAGTGCTTGCAAGCCAGATCAAAATGATCCAGACACTGGATGGTTGTATCGTTCGTTTGGCTCTGAGCTCTTCAGTGGCGCACCCGGTTTGACTCACTTCACAGCACCGAATCAGTTCAAATCGCCTGATTTCTGTCCATCAAGGTTGGATATCAGGATAGATTTCGTCAAGAACTGACTTCCGTTAGAGAAATACCGAAACCAAGGGGTCGTGGCCAGCTATCCTGCCTTAGTTTCGAATGAAATCCACTCTGAAATAACTCAACTATTCCTATTCGCTTATTTGCCACTCGCTTCATGGTTTTTAATCGAAATTGAATGATTTAATTATGATATCAGGTTGAGTCACAGATGGATATCAGTTAGAGTACCATTGGAAATCAGGGATTAGTGCACAATTAGGGACTTATCGGTAGTGTGAACCAGTGATCCCACCGGGAACCGAACACCAGAAGCTTCGAATTACGAGGTGAGCTCGTTGAACATGCAACCATTGGAACGGAATTCACTGACCAGCCCATGAATTCTAACTTCCGTCAATTTGCGATTTTTAGTGCCACTGTCAACCAATGTCATCAGCGAGTATTTTTTTTCCTTGTGCTCAATACTCCCTGGTTTTCAGCTGTTTTCTGCATAATATCAATCTGTGATTGTACTTGAAACCAGTCAAATTCCTACAAACTAACACTTGAGAAGTGTGATATTATTTTGACATACTCCTCACATTAATGAGTCATTAAGAAGCTTAACTATGTTGTGTTGTTCCCTCCTAAATGGACAGTAAACTATATTGATTAAATTTGCAGTTGAGATATTCTGCACTTCGAGAAGGTCTTCAACAGCTTTGACCGAGAAGTCATTTGGAAACTGCTTTAAAACTACAACGTGCAATGCCCAAGTCTCTATCAACCTCATTCAACTGCTGGGTATATGAAAGTGAGACCACGTGTCAGGTGATCCACAACGGAAAACTCAGTGAAGCGTTTCAAGTGAATACAGGATTAAAACAAGACTGACTGTTTACTTTCACCGACTATATTCCTATTTGTGGTGGACTGGATTATGCGTCAGACTGTACGTTGGAAGTGAGAAGACTAGAATACTTTGGACCGATAAGAAGACTACGAGATTCAGATTTCACACGTGGATGACTTATATTTAATGTCAAGTAAATTCGAAGACTTGCTGGCGGAGAGCAACAAACTGGGTTGAAGATGAAGACAGCGAAGACAGGACTGCAGGTGAACATAGAGAAGATGGAGGTGACAGAGGTTACTTCCTTCGCTTATCTAGAAAGCACGTTTTCAACCACAGGCAGTCGGACAGCACGTATAAAAATGTCGAATTCAGCCAGCCAGAATCGGAGAGACAAGCAAGATACGCCTTCATCAACCTGAAACCAGTTTGGAAATTTCCTGCACTCAGTTACCGTAAAGAACAAGATTCACATTTTTAACACAAATGTAAAGTTAGTCAGTCAGTTCTTCTATTCGGGTCAGAAACTTGCACTGCGTGTCAGTCACGAAAAGCATTTCTAACAGCCAGTTGCAGACTTTTATCAACAACAGTAGAGAAAATAAATGGTAGTAAAACTACAGTGGATGAAGATGTCTTGGAATGAGAGAGCATAATCGGATGAAGATTCAAAGAAATCGAAACATTGGTTTTTGTGATTGATCACAAACGGACCCTTGAAAGTCAGGAAGCACTACTCAGGTTTTTTTTTAACCCTTATCTAGAACTCTTCAGCAGTACATACTGATGATCCCACGGGGAATTTAATCCAGGATCTTTCGGATTCGATTTGCCTTCGTAGACCATTCAGGTCTCACTTCTGCGAAGTCATGATATATAGCACGACTGTTAGCCAATAGCATCGGCTAATAGTCGTCCTTACACCCAACTTGGTTGACCCTCGCTGGTCATAACCTCCCACCTGAAATTCAGACAACTCCAAATCCACTACTTTAAAATTGACTTTTATATTCAATAGTCTTCAAATCCAAAACTATTTACTTCTCGGCGAGGTTCCAGGTCTTATCTAACCTTTATATGGACTATACCACTCAATGCTTATGCATTTTCTAACATTATCATACTAGAGTGGTTAAAGTGAGTAAACCAAATCAAAGTACAATATAAAACGACCAATAACTAATAACCAATATTCTATTATTGGAGAGTAGCATCCTTTTTGAGTGTCATAACTTAAACCTCTAGTTATAGCAAGAAAAAGTAAGATGCCTTTTTCTCTCTCTTTCCTCTTTTGTTTACATTATCAAATCAATTGCTATCAAAAATTGACACTATATGATTAAACAACATCTAACATGTGTGTGATTGACATAAGTCTAAATGATTAAATCCTTTCTTTTAGGTGACTATTGCATTGACTAACTAACCTTTTTTCTGTGCCTTTCCGTCATCAATCATAATTATCATCTATCTAGTTGAAAATGAAGTTATCAAGATTTCTAAACAATTATTCCCCCTCCCCTCCCCCGGAAAAAACAGTAAAACAAATATGTCAAGTTATGATATTTAGACAAAAGTGTGTTCATCCTATAATAATAATAATAATAATAATAATTAATATAGATGATACTGTTGACTTGTTTGTTAGATTATAGATTGTACAGGTATAATGCTAAAGTTAAACTCTTCTATGATTTCTGTAAAGAGATTCTAAAATAAGTGTCATATGTCAATCAAGTTCTCCGGTTGATAACATGATTATTAGATTTTGTCCTTGTTACTGTATTAACATTTCCTTGAGTCTCAAGTGGGGAGCATATACGGCTTCAACCTTCACATCTCCGTTTCACCCCCTTCTCTACAGTCTTGTTTTAGCTGACTTCACGATTTCCCATTAGCTTTCTTCTCTTCCTCACATGACCTCCTCCTCTATGTGTCACCCTCCAACTCATACGTCGACTTCATTAACTTTTAAAGCGACTTTGACAGCATCGAACGTGAAGTAGTTTGGAGGCTGTTTCAACACTACGCAGACTATAGAAGAGGAGTGAGAAGACGGTAATATATTGGACTGACAAGAAAACTCTAGAAGATCAGGACTTTGTTGTGGACGATTTGTCTCGTGTCATACTGTGGTGAGAGCTGGCTGCTAGCCAAAGTTGGTAGACAGTAATTTACGTCAATGTTTACGTCCTCAATATTGGTCATGAGAAAGGAACAAGAACAAAGACTGACTCAACAACCAATCACAGCAGACTTTGCGAAGACGGATACAATTTGCAGATAGATAATGACAAGGGTGCTTATTATCACCAATGATATTCCTAACTGTGGTGGATTGGACTATGCGTCAGACAGTGGGAAACGAGAAGACAGGGATATCCTGAACCGACGTGAAGAATCTAGATGATTTATGTTTGATGTCACAAAAAATCGAAGACTTACAAGCGAAAACCGACAAACTGGTCGAAGAAGCAGCAAAGACAGGACTCCAGGTGAACATTGACAACACGGAGGTTATGAAAATAACCAACAACAACAGCAACATCCAGCGCCAATCACCATCAACGGGAGGGATTTGAAAGAGGTTACTTCATTCACTTATCTAGGGAGCATTGTCTCAACTACAGGAGGAACGGACGAGGATGTCAAATCGAGAATCGGGAAGGCGAGAAACACATTCATCAACCTGAAACCAATCTGGAAATCTTCGTCACTCAGCCCGCATCAACAACAAAATTCGGATTTTCAATACAAACGTCAAGTCAGTTCTTCTATACGGATCAGAAACTTGACGGCAGGTCACAAAGAATATTTCCAACAGCCTGTTGCAGACCTTTATCAACAACTGTCTTCGCTCTATATTACTGAAGATCAGATGGCCGGAAAGAATCACCAACCAGAAACTATGTAAACAAACAAAACAAGAACCAATCGCCAAACAAATATGCAGGAGAAAGTGGATATGGATTGGATACTCGCTGAGGAGGCCGCTGGGTGACATCGCGCGTCAGGCCCTCTAGTGGAACCCGAAAGGGAAACGGCGAGTGGGACGTCCAAGGGTGACGTGGAAGAGATCGTGTGAAGAGGAGTTGAAACAGTTTGGACTAATATGGATGCAGGTGAAAGGTACAACAGAAGGCAGAAGCAAGTGGAGATGTGTAGTTGAAG